GGGCAGAAGAGCATCTCCGCCTCCTCAGCGCTCGGAGCGTCTCACTTCCCCTTCATGGAGAAGCTCAACAACAGAAGCAAACGGAGCAAAAGCAGCTCCGCTTTCATCCTGTTTGGATGAATTCAGACATTTTCAGTGGTTTAAACGCAGCCTGGTGAAATAAGAGACGCGCGGGTAACTGCAGGAGAAAAACTGCGATCTTCTTTGAAAACATAAAGAAATCTAATCAAGAACTTATTTTTTTAAGGATGTCAACACGGGCAAATTATTTCTACTTGTCACCAGATGCAAAAGTGTAAAAGCTAATAAAGGGTCGTGGTGGTTAAAGGTGACAGAAACCCACCGGTGCGCGCTCAGCTTTCAGACCAGGCTGCACAAAGAAACACACCTCTGCATCTTCACACCAACAAAACCCAACAAACCAGCCTGAACACACAACCAGCTGCCCTCTCATCCCCGCACAACACTAACTTTCAGCCTCCTTCAGCTTCGCACAGAAACTCTTTTCAATCAAACTAAAAAAAAAAGGAGCAAATAAGAAATATTCCTGTTTTAAATCAACAAATGAAAATGAATGAAAGCAGCGGAAACATCCCTCCCCGGTTCTGCCCAGGAGCCCAGAACCAAGGATGCTGATCTTTCTTTACCTGCTCCGGTGATGTGATGTTTTTAGGATGTAATTTTGTCCTCTTTTTTGTCCTTTACGCGCACTCCCTTGTCCGTGTCTTCTTGTCCGAGTCCTCCCGTGTCCGTGAGAGCGAGTGGAGCGTGAACGCGTCAGAAGCCTTTATTTTAGCCTATTTATAAGCTCCTCTTGCTGACCTTTGTCTCCTACAACCGGGGGACCAGAGACATCGGCGGCAGTGGAAAATCACCGGCCTGCCTCCTCAGAGCAACAGGAAAGCGGCTGAGCATGGTGCGTTCACGGGCCGCCGGAAAACCTCGGAACTTTTGCAAAGTGCGCACTTCAAGTAGCGACGAGAAAAAGGCTTGAATTATAACAGCAGACATTTAAACAACCGCTTAAATTAACAGATTCTGATCATTTCTAGTAAAAATATAAATATATAAAATATTAGGGGGTATCTGTAAATAAAAACAAATATGTGTTTCCTTCTTTAACCCAGGAATCATTTTTACAACTGTTAAAATAAAAACCCCACAGCCTACATCTTCATCTTAAATGAAAATGTACGAACTGCACCTGAATGCAGCATTAAGACAATTTAAAGTGACAGCTTTTTTTTTTTCTTTTTTTCAAATCTGTTTCTTAGATTTTCATTGTTGTGATATTTATTCTGTGAGCAGATATTTGCAGAAAGTAAATAATTAGAGTGTTTTGCTTTTTATCATCTTTGATGCATCTAGAAACACAATAATCAGACAAAATAAAAAAAACACTTCTGCTTTTTTAGCTGATAAAAAGAGGATTTCAGCTCTTATCAGTCAGGCGGTTCTGTCTGTTTGGGTTCTTTATTCCAGGGTTTTGACAGGAGACAGGTTTGGACTGCAGGCAGAAATGCAAAACAACATTTCTTTGATACAGAACCCATTTCTCCAACATTTCAACAAAAAATATCCCTCTGCTTCCATGCTCCATCTGCACATCTTCAGGTCAGCAGGGCTGGGGGAGCCGGTTCTGCTGTTAACATGGACCCGTCTGTCTTTCTGTCCATCAGAGACGCGTGTTTGTCCTGAGAACTCAGCAGGATTTCAACTCAGAGGTGGTCTCTGCACCAGAACCTGCAGGGAACTGATGGACCTGATGGTTTCTTGTGATTCCTGAAAAACAGTTTCAACTAATCGAAACATAAATATAGATTTCAGATTTTTAGAAGCGGGTCACAAACTGTAACATTTACAGTTTAAAGGTCAACACTTCCACAGTCTCATCGGGGGGCCACAAATGGTGGTTCGAGGTCCAGATCAGGACCCAAATAAGCTCTTTTCTGGTCATTTATTTGAGGCGGTGCTCACGTGTGATCCAGGGTTTCTCTCTGAGCTGGGAGCCCACAGACAAAAACTAACGGTTTTAAAGGGATCCATGATTAGTTGTAACATTAAACTTTATTTAATAAACATATATTTTAACTGTAAAATAAAGACTGTAAAAATTCTGTAGGCTGTTTAGTTTTATCATTTTAAAAATATATTTTAACACGGATGGGGCCATTTTATTTCCACACAAAGCATTCTGGGTAAATGATGACGTGGATAGGTCCTCGGTGCGAGGCTGCTAGCGAGCTATATCCACCCTGAAGGTTAATCTTGGACAATATCTGATGATCGACTCTTTTAAATGAAACCAGAGAGCGTTGACAGAGAGGAGAAGGTAGAAATGACTCAGRCTGGAACTGAAAATATGGATGGAGGACAACAGTTTAGCTTGTTTGTCGAGCTAGCACCGAGCTAATACATATAAGGAAATATAGCGTCAGCGCTAGCGCTAACAGGCTAAGCAGAGGTTGTTCTTCCATGAAGCAGCTCTGTTGTCCTCCATCCATATTTTCAGTTCCAGGCTGAGTCATTTCTACCTTCTCCTCTCTGTCAACGCTCTCTGGTTTCATTTAAAAGAGTCGATCATCAGATATTGTCCAAGATTAYCCTTCAGGGTGGATATAGCTCGCTAGCAGCCTCGCACCGAGGACCTATCCACGTCATCATTTACCCAGAATGCTTTGTGTGTAAATAAAATGGCTCCGTCCGTGTTAAAATATATTTTTAAAAAATTTACAAAACTAAACATCCTACAGTATTTTTACAGTCTTTATTTTACAGTTAAAATATATGTTTATTAAATAAAGTCTAATGTTAAAACTGATCATGGATCCCTTTAACACTAAAATGAAATTTAAATATAGATTTTCTGGATTTTAATTGGAGACCATTCATTAGGCTCTTCATTTAACTGTAATAACAGTAATGAACAGATTAGTGAAGAATCATTCATCAGTGAGTGGTGTAAACCTGGGGGTGGGGGGTTGTTTCAATCAGAGGAATGTTGAGTCACTTATAATTATAACATACTAATTACAATGTAATACATGTCTGGTGTGTTTAAGTGTCGTTCAGTAAAACACTGCACATCCACTGATCATGTTGTTCTTTAATGTTTGAGTGAGAAAAAAATAGAAAAGTTGTGTAAAATCTGTAAAAGAATAAAGTTCTTCACCTGCAGAGATCAAATAAGGAGCTATATTTAACTGGAGCAGAAGATGATGATTATCAGTGAGGCTGTTTTATGGTTAAATATCATTTTTCCTCTCGAACTCTTTTTATCAGCCAGGGAAGCCTGTTGACAGCGAACATTAACCTCTGTCCTTAAAACTCTCTCTACACATTCTTATCTGCTGCCCTTGACTCTGCGCCACCCTGAAGCTTTTTTTCAAACACTATCTTACTACTTTGTTGACTCTGGCTGCACAGACTCACTCTGTGACCTCATGTTGGGGGGCTGCAGGGGGAAGACAAACGGCGAGGAGGAACAAACAGTTTGTAGAAAAAAAATCTGAATTTTTTACAGTTTGACGCATTAAAGAAGCGATGGATAAAGATGCTGATTATAAACATGTTATTAGAGGGAAAAAACTTAAAACAGCAATTAAACTCAAGAAAAAAAGATGGAGGAAATAAAAGTATTTAGTGAGCTTTAAAGAACAAATTGTACGTTTGATAAAGTTTCTGGTTCTCTGCAAGAGAAGACAGTAAAAGCTCCACGTTCTTCTCATGATCTGTACATTTGTATTTAACCAGAATAGGGTGCAATTAAAACATAATTCTAAAATAAAAACATTTGATGCATTGCACCAGATTTAGCCCCAGCAGTCCCTCCAGACAATAAAAACTAATTTAAAAAATAAACATTAAAAATATCTAACAGAAATGAAACTGTAAACAGAAAACATCGTCATTTTCCATTTTGTGTTTCAGTTAAATCTGCATGTTTTATTTCCACTCATATTTGTACAGATTTCTGATCTGCTGCAGCACAGGGGCTGGGATTTGAGACAGACAGACAGACAGACAGACAGACAGACAGACAGACAGACAGACAGACAGACAGACAGACAGATAGATAGATGATGGATGGATAGGTTCGTTCGTTCGTCGTGTGTGTGCATATATAAAAAAATTCCCTTCTCACCCTCCGTGGGTGGTCTCTTTCATCCTCTGAGCTCGGGTCCTCTACCAGAGG